TTATTGTCCAGATCTCTGATGCATAGCAGGTAATTGTGAAGCCCATGGCCTGGATCAAGTGCATGTTAGTCTCTAGACTGATATTGTCTCTTCTCAGAGCTCTGGAGAGGTCCCTGACAGCAGGTTTACCTGATGCAATTAGTCTTTTGATTTCCTGCCTGCAGGTATTAAGAGTGTTGATTGTGGATCCAAGCAAGCTGTAACTGTTAACAGCCTCAATCTCTTCTCTATCATGATGCTGCCAACTGGCCCAGTGGTGAGAATCTTTGTCTTCTTGATGCTGCACTTCAACCTATATTGAAGACTATACAAACCATACTAGTTTCCACTTCCTATCACTTCTGTGGTGTCGTTTCCTAATCATTTGATTCAGTCATTGATTGCCGTTGAGCTGGAATCAACTAATATTTGACTGTCTACTAAGTTTCCAAGGCTGTAAATCGCACAGGAGGAGATTGTCCCTCTTTGGCCCTCAAAGCTCACTCTTAGTGAATTCAAGTCACAGAAGAGATGAGACCTTTGTATTAGCAGAACAGCTTCCTACAGACTAGCTCCCCAAAGCTCCCAATGAGTAGACTAATGTTATGTCCAGTCAACTATGACCCACAATGTCCCTATCAACAACAGATCTGAATCGTGCCCTATCTTGTGCCATTCTCACAATTTCCAGCTTGCTAGAGGCCACTGTTACAGTCAGTCTGCCAATGCATCTTGTTGATGGTCCTCCTCTCGATCTCTGAATTATTGCATGGCCCAGCAAGTCCACTCCTAGATGCATGATCAAAAGACTTGACAAAAGGAGCTCCTGTAACTTACTTGTACATTATCCACAATCTACAAAGCAGGAACAAGTCATAGATCATCAACAGATGAATTGATAAATAAAACAAGGTATTTGAATATTCTTCAGACATAAAGAGAAATGAAGTTCTGATTATGGTAAGTGAAGTGTGATACAAAGATACAAAGGGACAAATATTCCACATGATTCCACATATATGAAATACCTTGAATAAGCAGATGAAATATTCCACATGATTCCACATATATGAAATACCTTGAATAAGCAGATGAATAGAAAGGGGATTTATTTTTTGTGGGGTTGGGATAATAAAAAACTTTTGGAAATATAATAATGAATGCACAATATAGTGAATATATTATGTCATTAAATTGTACACAATACAGTGATAATGCCAACTGGTTTTTTATGTGTATTATACCATAATAAATGGTGTTTTACAGAAAATCATATACCCAGGTGTTTTACCTGAGCTAGATGATAAATGTTGCTGTCCTAAAATAGAAAGTCAGCTGTCAAGCTGGAGTGGGGCTTGAAGGGGGCAGGAGAGGAGAGGAGGGTGGGTTTGAGGGAAGGTCAAATTAGCCAATAGTTAAGGTATACGATTTTGGACCTGTTTTTTTTAATAGCCTGCCTATTAAAATGACCACCTGCGAATAGATGTGCAGTAATCAATTGGACGTAATATGCCTGGTGGTCAGAAAAAGGTCTCGGCTGCAGAGAGAAAGGTGAACCTCCTCAGCGCAGGTAATGTAAGCTGTGGAAACAGACTTCCCCAGGAAACAATTTATCTTAAGATTGCCAAGAAATTACTACAATGAAAATTTAATAACCAATTTTGTAATTGCCTGACCTTGTCTTCAAGACTGTGATAACAAATCATTTGCACATCATCTGAGGGCACACAATAATGTTTTGGGGTTTGTTTAGGGTTTTTTTTCCCATATAACTGTGTTTCTATTGGTTAGCTTGATCTTAGAGAAAACAGGATAGCATTTTATGCAGGAGATGAAGTTGTAGAGCAAGAATGATACTTGAAAACACTTTTTATTTCCTCAAAACATATAAACATGTTGATAAGTTCAACACAGCCTGTTTTTATCTCAGCATTGGTGTTAAGTAACTTTATTTCATTCAGCCACAGTTGAAGAGTTAGTTTATACTTAGATGGGACGTCATCCTTGGAAGGGCGGAGGGACAGAGAAAGAGAGGAAGAGCATCGATGAGATGGATTGGTTCAGTGACTGGGGTAATGAAGGGAGGTGTGTCAGAGACAGTAAAGTTGGCACAGGATAGAGCAGGTTCTGGGGCTATTGTACATAGGGTTGCTATGAATTGCAAGTGATTCGATGGCATGTAACAACAACAAATATTGTAAAGAAAGGAAAGCTATCTGTAAGCAATGACATTCCATAAGGAGCACTATGTTCCAGAGTAATTGAGGGAAAGGTCTCCTCCCACCCACACTCCAAGCATCTACTTACTATAAGCATATACTTACAAGCAGCCACCAATGCCCCTTAGAAAGAATGATGAAAATTGCATCCATTTAGAGTCATAAATAAGTATAAAGTCATAAATTAAAAACCAGAGTGTAAGTACACCATATTTTTTTAAAGCTTTCCTTTTTGGTTTTTTTTTAAGGATTATGAATAACTGATTTTATGTTGCTTCCAAAGAATCAAGATATTTACTGACAATCTTCATGGGATAAGGGAGATTTGCTGACAATTGAAAGCTTAAAATGTCACCATTATTGTGATCAAATAACTTAAAGACATAATTTAAAAAACTTATTATGATACATCGTGTATTTTGAGGGGGGCTTAATAATAGGGTTGCACAATTTGTTCAGTGGAGGCAGGAGTGGGTAAAGGAAAGGGGAAAGATCCAGTGTGAGAAATAATGTATACAAATTTTGCAAATGAACCAGTATAAAAACAACACAAGCTTTCCTCTTATAAATGATTGCTTTCCCCCATCCCTTTTACTTGAAGGATGGGGGATGAATAACAATACATGCGCTTCTTCACTCCTGATGCTAGAGGATGGCAATGCAACCAAAACATACCAAGAAAACTCAAAATTCATTCTAAAATGACAACAGCACGGAAAACAAATTAACATCAATGTTTCCAAGGGTATTTGCCAATTGAAATGTCCAGTTGGTTCTGACTCGTAAACACCCTGTAAAGGCAAAGTAGAACTGTCCCAGAAAGTTTCTGAGTTCGAAACTGAGTGAATTGTCTTTCTTCCCAGGAGGGCCTGCGGGGTTCCAACCACTAGACGACTCTCTGTTTACATCCCAATACTTAAACCTCTACACCACTGGGGCTCCTCATCCTCTGATAAGGAAGAAAGAAGTCATGTCCTTACATTTTCAGTCTACAAACAGAACAGATCATTTGAGAGGCTAGACTTTATGCAGATGAATGTGTCATCAGGATTGCAGGAAGACACATCAACCACTTGTGCTATGCAGATGACATAACTTTGATTGTCAAAACTGAAGAGGATTTGAAGCATTTGCTGCAGAAGGTCAAGGACTGCAGCCTTCAATATGGACTGCATCTCAACATCAGAAGACAAAGATTCAGACCACCAGGCCACTCAGCACATCGTGATGGATGGCGAAAAGAGTAAAGTTGTTAACAATTTTATCTTGCTCAGATCCACAATCAACACTCCTGGCACCAGCAGACAGGAAGTAAAAAACCAAGTTGCTTTAGGAAAGTCTACTCTCAGAGGCCTCTCCAGAGTGCTAAAGAGCAACAGTGTCAGTCTAGAAACTTAGGTGTACCTGATGCAGGTGATGGTCTTCTCAATTGCTTGCTATGCATCTGAGAGCTTGACAGTGACTAACAATGACAGAGGAACAACCAATGTGTTTGATTGTGGTGCTGGAGAAGAGAATTAAACAGGCCATGAACATCTAGAGAGGGTGAAACCAGCAGTTCTTTGGAGGCAAGGATTTTGAAACTCTGTCTCACATACTTTGGGCATATTGCCAAGAGGGATCAGTCTTTGGAGAAGGACATCATGCTTGGAAGGGTAGAGGGTTAGCGCAGGAGAGGAAGAACCTGGAAGAGATGGATTAACACAGTGACTGGACAATGGGGGCAGACATGTCCGAGAGGGTGAGATTGGCTCAGAATAGGGTAGGGTTCAAGAATAGGGTAGGCTTCACGATTATTGTTGGTACGGTTGCTAAGAGCTATAGTGGACTGGAGGGCACATAACAACAGAACATTCATTTCTTTCAATAAATATTGTAAAGAGTTTGCCAATCCTAGGCCCTGAGGCTGCAGCAGTGAACATAACAAAACTAATAATAAAACCAAGTTTGACTTCATGGAGCTTAATTTCGAAAACAATGGAACGCGATGTTACATATCAAATCTGCATTCCAAAGCAATGTTTCAAGATATATAGCCTGTGGTCTTAGATTATTTCTTAAAGTTTATTGTTTAGAAAATAAGAATAAATTTTCCCAAGTGTCTATAGTGATACTGTACAAAAGACAAGGTAACAATAGATAGTAAGTAGATGCCAGAAATTGAAAAGGCCTGTTGACAAAATGTTAAATACATTCGAGATCCTCTTTACACAAAAGTTGCACATCTTTCAAGGTAGGCCTGGAACCTTCACGAAGAGGTACGCTTTTTGACAATCCACTTAAGGCCACTTAAAAACCACTGAAGGAACAACTTGGAAGAGAACAAATGTTTTCATCTGAAAAATTAAGGTATGCAAATGTTTGTAACATTCTGAATATGGAGTAGTCATTCCAATGCCTCTAACGCCGATTTCAAGGGTTTTATTCACTGTACTTTTGGAAGCAAGCCACGCAAGAGTAGAACATAAAGAGCTGATTAAGTTTGGGGCAGCCTGAAACACCAGAGCCCAAGGATCCTCTGTTGTTAAGGCAACCGACCCCACGCCCACCCAGAGCAGGGTAAACCTGGAACCTAGCCAGGAGAGTGGCCACCTGTTTTCCAGGACTTGGTTTTATTTCGTTAAGGTTGGGAACAGGCAACACTACCGTCAAGGAAGATGATAAAATAAGTGGGCTCTGGTCTCTGCAGAGGGTACCCCACCTTGTCCCCCAACATTGGGTAGGTGACAGTAACTCAACGACAGGCTAGTCACGCCCCCAGGGGGGCGTGACACATCAGCCCCGCCCCAACGTAGTCTCGCGATGTTGGCAACCGGAGCTCGAACTGACGTAAGTTCCGGTCGTCAACCATCAGCTCTTTAAGGATTGGCTGTTTTTCACGGCTGGGGGCGTAACGCTAGAGCCCGAGTCGGCTGGGCTTCACGTGTGGCGGAACTCGGATCTTTCGCTTGCCGGTTGCCCGGGACTTCGAGAGCGTCGCCCCCGCAGTTCTTGGGGTGAGCTCCACGCGGCCACGACATGGTAAGCGAGCCTTCCTTGTCCCTTGTCCTTGTCGGCGGGTCCCCCAGGCCCTGGCCAGGCGGGTGGTCTCTGCGGCCCGGGACTGGAGGACCCCTCCCGCCGCACTGCCAGTCCAGAAGTGCGGGCAGGCTGCGCGGCCGCAGGGTGCCCCTGTGTGGGTCACTCACACCACCATCGCCCACCCTGCAGTTTAGCTTGGGTCTCTTCCTGGAGGATGGGCGGACGCGGATGCTCTCCCGTCCCAGGGGCCTGCCCTTCTGCCTTGGTGCTTGACGTTGACTTATCACCGGTGACACCGGGCACCAGTCTACCTTCTGTGTTTCCTGGAGCCCAGGCAGAAAGTTACTGGACTCCCCAGGCCTTGGAAGCCAGATCTGCTTTGGGGAAAGAGAACTTGTGGGAGGGCCAAGGGTTGATCCCCAGAGGAAGGCCCCCCTATTCGTCTGAGTTAAGGACACTGTTCCTGAGTGACATAATAAAAACGAGACTTAACAGACATAATCAGCATCCGTGGACCCAGTAGTCAAGCCATGGAATACCATGCAGCACACAGGAGCAATCATTTTGTAAATTGCTACCTATCTTGGCAGGGACTGGAGATCATTATGTTCAGTGAGCTCAGTCACATAAAGACAAATACTGTATAAGACCATTAGAACGTGTATGAGGACCCAAGGTGGGAGGGGGAAAGCAGAGGAGTCAGGATGGGGTTGTGTGTTTTTAATCGTTGGGTTACACAGTTTTATTGGTGGAGGGAGGGGTCGGTGAAGCAAATGAGAAAGATCCTGTGTGGAAAAAAAATGTATACAAACTCTAAGTAAACCAGGATAAAATAAAAGAAGAGATGATCTGTTGCATTTGACAGATCTGCAAAGCATTTCTTTATAAAGTGATGACAAGCAAGGATACCACTTTAAACACTAAGGTGTGCCTGATCCATGTCATGGGGTTTCATAGGTATGTGAAAGTTGAACAATGAATAAAGAAGAATTGATATCTTTCAGTTGTACTGGTGGGGGGAAAAAATAGAGTAGGAAGAAAAGACCAAAATGGATGTCAGAAGAGACTCTGAAGATTGCACTGGAGCTTAGAGAAGCCAAAGCACAAGGAAGAATTCAAGATACTAAAGAGCTGAACAGAAGATTCCAAAAGGTTGCTCAGAATGACAAAGCAAAATACTACA